CATTAATCTGTACACAACAACGTAGGCGATTATAGTAAAAAAATAATGATAAATTGAGATATATCAGAGAGGATCGCAAGACAGTCTACCCCCCCCCCCCTCCGAGTGACGACAGACTCAAAACTTAAAACAAACTGTGAAAATGTATAACGAACATACATATACTTATAATGTATTGTATATGTTTAGAAAATAATAATAATAATAATAATAATAATAATAATAATAATAATAATAATAATAATAATAATAATAATAATAATAAAAAAAAAATAATAATAATAATAATAATAAACTTCCATTGTCCTGCCATGGAAGTTCTCACGTACACTTGTTAACACGGACAGGATACACGTACGTACGGACGGAACTGAAATAAGATCCGTTCACCCGTTCTGTCCGTGGTGTTATGAGAGCAAACTTTATGGCACTAATATAAAGCAGATACAGTAATTCTTTGTGGTTTACTTACTGTACCAAACATCTATCGCAAAGCCTCTCGCTGCCTCACTGTACCTACCATAATGCCTCTCGCTGCCTCACTGTACCTACCATACTACCTCTCGCTGCCTCACTGTACCTACCATACTACCTCTCGCTGCCTCACTGTACCTACCATACTACCTCTCGCTGCCTCACTGTACCTACCACACTACCTCTCGCTGTCTCACTGTACCTACCATAATGCCTCTCGCTGCCTCACTGTACCTACCATAACTCTCGCTGCCTCCTGTACGCTGCCTCACTTGCTGCCTCACCTACCTACCATACTGCCTCTCGCTGCCTCACTGTAAACACACACACACACACACGTTTACTCAACACTAGACAGAATTGTGTGTGTGTGTCTGTATGTGTGCGTGTGTGTATGTGTGTGTGTGTGTCTGTATGTGTGTGTGTCTGTATATGTGTGTATGTGTGTGTGTGTGTGTGTGTGTGTGTGTGTGTGTGTGTGTGTGTGTGTGTGTATATATGTGTGTGTGTGTGTGTGTGTGTGTGTGTGTGTGTATGTGTGTGTGTATGTGTGTGTGTGTATATGTGTGTGTGTGTGTGTGTATGTGTGTGTGTGTGTGTGTGTGTGTGTGTGTGTATGTGTGTGTGTGTGTGTGTATGTGCATGTGTGTGTGTGTGTGTATATGTGTGTGTGTGTGTGTGTATATATATGTGTGTGTGTGTGTGTGTGTATATGTGTGTGTGTGTGTTAGTCTTTCTGTAATGAATGTGAAGGACTTGGCAAGGTCACACATATTTGTTTGTTTAACTTCAGTCAATATCTCATTATCCGCATTCTAAGTGGCATCTCAGGTAGACGTGTATGTCAGGTACTAAGTTAATATTCATTAGGCCTGGGAGGTATAGTTGTGTGTGTGTGTGTGTGTGTGTGTGCCTGATCCTGTGTTTATGTAGTGTTATCATTGTTGTTGTTTTCATTATTTTTGTTATCATTATTATCATTGTTATTATAATTATCATTGCTTTTAATAATATTGGTATTTTATATCGTAATGTTTGAATAAGGTCGTCACTAGTCGTTACAGTGAAGGTCGTACGTGAGACGACTGTGTCAACTGGGGTAATGAGGGCATGTATAGGCGCCTTTACTTATACCTGGTACAGTGTCTGGCACGTTTTGTGAGATGTGGCAACTCTGTGGAATGTTTATCTAGCATCCATACTCTGGCTACTATTACGAGGTTCCTTAGGGCCATTATGGGAGTTTTAATACGATGTAAACAAACACAGAGTTGCCACGTCTCACAAAACTCACCAACCGCTGTACCAGGTCTAAGTGCAGGCGACTGTACTGTATATAACTAACTCTCTCTCTCCCACGTCTTGAGACATCAGCTGAGAGCCAGTATGGAGTCGACTCTGTACCGAAACTCTACCTAGAATACATAATGTTTTACGCCTTTGAGTTTTACTGAATTAATGAACCGCGTCAGCTGCAGTTACAAGCAAGTTTTGTTCCACTCTTCCCCTCTTTCTTTACACCATCTTGAACACTATTATTTCTTGTTGATGCCTCAGGACACGTATGTTGTACCGCCAATACACACACACACACACACACACACACACACACACACACACACACACACACACACTTTCATGTTCCGACGTTAAATTATTTCCATCATCAAGGACTTAGAGGAAACACTTAGTTACGGTTGAGTGTTAGTCCAATTTGTACAATCTTCTACTTGCCCTCGTGTTTGTGTCGTAGTTTAAGTGACCCATTCAGAGGTTGTCACATAACAGTTGGTGGGTTCAATCTTCTGTGTCAAGTGTGTGTGAGTGTGGTCTAGGGGTACCACTGACCACCTGCTCACCCCCACACACACACACACACACACTATACACTGCAGCAGCTGACGACCTCTGTTTCTTTTCGTTTAGTCCAAGCACCAACTGGACGCCTCCCCTGACTCCACACACAACCTCCCCTGACTCACACAGCCTCCCCTGACTCACACACCTCCCCTGACTCACACAACCTCCCCTGACTCACACAACCTCCCCTGACTCACAACCTCCCCTGACTCACACAACCTCCCCCCTGAGCTCACACAACCTCCCCTGACTCACATAACCTCCCCTGACTCACACAACCTCCCCTGACTCACACAACCTCCCCAGCTCAAGCAGCCTCCCCCTGACTCACACAACCTCCCCTGACTCACAGCCTCCCTGACTCACACAGCCTCCCCCCAGCTCACACAGCCTCCCCTGGCTCACACAGCCTCCCCCAGCTCACAACCTCCCCCTGACTCACACAGCCTCCCCCAGCTCACACAACCTCCCCCTGAGCTCACTTTAGCCTCCCCTGACTCCACGCAACCTCCCCCTGACTCCCCAGCCTCCCCCTGACTCACACAACCTCCCCTGAGCTCAAACAACCTCCCCTGACTCACACAACCTCCCCCAGCTCCACACAACCTCCCCTGACTCCAAGCCTCCCCTGACTCCCACACAACCTCCCCCACTGCACAGCCTCCCCTGACTCACACAACGTCCCTGACTCACTAACGTCCCCTGACTCACACAACCTCCCCCTGGCTCACACAACCTCCCCCTGACTCACATAACCTCCCCCTGTCCTCACTTCCCCTTAAACAAGCACCAACTACCCCTCACCTAGCAAGGGGGGGGGGAGCTTGTTGTATTGTTAAGCACCTATTTCCTCCCTTACCTAATCACATCCAGGGTGGTTACACCACAATGCTCCCTGTGTGTGTGTCTGTCAGTCTGTTTGTGTCTGTTTGTTTATCTGTGTGTGCGTGTGTGTGTGTGTGTGTGTGTGTTGCTTGACGTAACTTAACGCAACCTAACTTACCCCAACTTAACTTAACCTAACCTAACCTAACCTACCCCCCCTCCCTTGGCCTGAAGAGAAGAGAATTAGGTCATGAAGAACAATGGTATGGTGGCATTCTGTCCAGTGGGAAATGGTATGATGGTATTTTGTCCAGTGGGAAATGATATGATGATATTCTGTCCAGTGGGAAATAGTATGATGGTATTTTGTCCAGTGGGAAATGGTATGGTGGTATTTTGTCCAGTGGGAAATGGTATGATGATATTCTGTCCAGTAGGAAATAGCATGATGGTATTTTGTCCAGTATATGGCTGACCGAGGATCCTGTCTGGTCAAAACTACACCTAACACGAGGCTAAACCATCAACACAATCAGCCTGGACAAAACCGTGTCGTAATATCATATCCAAGACCGCGATGAGGCAGGGAGGATGCGTTCATAACTCAGAGGCAGGCGGCGTGATGGACTTAGGAACATCAAGAATTAATGTGCCTGTATCTAACCTAACTCAATTCTACATAAGTGATTCAGTCAGTTGTGTGAGAGACCTTCCACGTTGGCACAGTTGAGGTAAATCATTATATAGTGCAGTAATTAGCGAGAAAATGTAGCGAGTAAACACCACTTAGCGAGTCTTGCTATATAGACTCAAGACGCAAAAATAGTCAACCTTGGCAACACTTTATATACTTAATGTTCAATTATTCTAACGTTGGCAACAATTTATTTAGTCAATGTAAATAAAAAAAAAATAATAAAAAATTAATTATTCTAATGATGAACTCTGTGTGTGTGTGTGTGTGTGTGTGTGTGTGTGTGTGTGTGTGTTAAGTGAAGCGAAGGGTCTTGCTTACTCGTGACAAAGATGTATAATGAATGAGGCTAAACTTGTCCGCTTCAGTAAAACAAAACAGTAATGAGGAAATGATGCAACACCCAATGAGGAGGATATTAGGACAGGATGCTGAACTGGCAGGTTGATGAGAGAGAGAGAGAGAGAGAGAGAGAGAGAGAGAGAGAGAGAGAGAGAGGTACAGGTAAGGTAAGTGGTCACCTCACTCCTACATTAAATCTGTACATTACATTTACTGAACCTGTGGTGGACGATCATGATAGCTAGGATGACAAGAAGCCAATGTGTGTGTGTGTGGCGGGGGATCTCACACACCCTCACATACTCTAACGCAATTTTTCCCCTGACACACACACACACACACACACACACACACACACACACACACACTCCCAGCTCGTAGTACATCACCACACGTGTTTGATCTTACTCCCACTAATTCCTCCCTGGGGTTTATTTACATCAATCATCTTCACTGTTACAAACATTCTTATACAGCAAGACTAAACCATCACACCTAAACATTATATTAGTGCGGTTTATCTTTATACTAGAAGAAAAACTTAGCATACATCCGTGGGTCGTATCCCCCTCGCGCCACCAGTGTACTGTATAAACGTTGGGATGCTGTAGAAATTATACCACTGTCCCATAGAGTAACACACACACACACAACCCAATATACAGTAATTAAATAAATCATGAATAATTCGTACACACCAAACTCACTTTCAGCGGATAAGTTATATTTCTATATGTTATGCACTTGATAAACCTCTTCCACCTATACACACTCACCCTCAGTTACTACCACTAAAAGTATCTACCTTGAGCTGGTGGTGAGGGCAACGCACTTGAGCAAAATGATTAAAGAGACTGCAGGTGCAGGAGGCTGTAGGGCCGCGCCAGGACGTCGCGGTGTACACGTCTCCTCGCAACCAACGCCAAATGTAAACAGAGCGAAGCCGCGTGGCTCAGTCGCCTCCACACATTGCATTCACCAGCTGCCAAGCGCACCCCCCTCCCCCACACGCCCTCACTAGTATGTATAGCGTATCTAGAAAGAACACTGTACCATGTTGTCATTATATAATTGTGTTACAAGCAACTATACAAAACACAAACAACTGATAATAAACAAATAAAACAAATGCTAAACAAGACTACCACTAGAGTCATTATCTTAGAACAGATAATAAGAAATTATCTGTTTACTATAAAAATGCCTCCTTCGTGACGTACTTTCAAGGTCGTCTCTTTTACGTCAGTTCAACATCATCAACTCTATGGGAGATTAGAGATTTGGAAGACATTAGCAAAATCGATATTGTCCCCCCCGAGTGGTGGAGGCGGCGGCGGATGTGGTGGTGCGCAGGCGGACCATGAGAACCAGCGATGATGCAACGCGAGAGCCGCTGACAGTCAGATCAGCTGCCACACCCGGCCCTCAGCTGTCGTCTGTTACCTGTTGTTGTCGTCTGTTACCTGTTGCCGTCTGTTACCTGATGTCATCTGTTACCTGTTGCCGTGTGTTACCTGTTATCATGTGTTACCTGTTGTCTTATGTAACCTGTTATCGTGTTACCTGTTGCCTTATGTTGCCTGTTGACGTGTGTTACCTGTTATCATGTGTTACCTGTTGTCTTATGTAACCTGTTATCGTGTTACCTGTTGCCTTATGTTGCCTGTTGACGTGTGTTACCTGTTATCATGTGTTACCTGTTGTCTTATGTTACCTGTTATCGTGTTACCTGTTGCCTTATGTTGCCTGTTGACGTGTGTTACCTGTTATCATGTGTTACCTGTTGTCTTATGTAACCTGTTATCGTGTTACCTGTTGCCTTATGTTACCTGTTGACGTGTGTTACCTGTTATCATGTGTTACCTGTTGTCTTATGTTACCTGTTGTCTTATGTAACCTGTTATCGTGTTACCTGTTGCCTTATGTTGCCTGTTGACGTGTGTTACCTGTTATCATGTGTTACCTGTTGTCTTATGTAACCTGTTATCGTGTTACCTGTTGCCTTATGTTACCTGTTGACGTGTGTTACCTGTTATCATGTGTTACCTGTTGTCTTATGTAACCTGTTATCGTGTTACCTGTTGCCTTATGTTACCTGTTGTCTTATGTTACTTGTTTTCATGTGTTACCTGTTGCCTTGTGTTACCTGTTGTCTTATGTTACCTGTTATCGTGTTACCTGTTGCCTTATGTTACCTGTTGTCGTCCGTTACCTATTGACTTCTGTTAGTTTAAGCTGTCCTGTATCTGTTTAAAGTGTCGTGTGTTTGCTTATGGTGTCCTGTGGTGTGTAGTGTAGTGTAGTGTCGTATGTAGTGTAGTGTGTAGTGTAGTGTAGTGTCGTATGTAGTGTAGTGTGTAGTGTAGTGTAGTGTCGTATGTAGTGTAGTGTGTAGTGTAGTGTGTAGTGTAGTGTAGTGTGTAGTGTAGTGTAGTGTCGTATGTAGTGTAGTGTGTAGTGTAGTGTGTAGTGTAGTGTAGTGTGTAGTATGTAGTGTAGTGTGTAGTATGTAGTGTAGTGTAGTATAGTGTAGTGTAGTGTAGTGTGGTGTTACGTTAGAAGGATACCTACTGATATATCCTCTTCCTTTTTTCATAACTTATCTTTCTCATCACATCTTACTTCATATTTAAAGTTTATTCACAAGATACTTTCCCTCGAGCGGTGACTGATCCATTGTGAGTGTGTGTGTGTGTGTGTGTGTGTGTGTGTGTGTGTGTGTGTGTGTGTGTCTCAGTTAAGTCATCATGGGAAATAGAGTCTTGTGTCTCGCCCAGCAGTGGAGTAAGTCAGAATACTTGGAACCAGAAAGTTGTTGCATCAGAATTCTTGTCGGTCGATACGAGACTTTCCTGAAACTGACACCAACCAAGAGGGTGAGGGTAAGATGACCAGCAGGACACACACACACACACACACACACACACACACACACACACACACACACTTGCCTACACACGCACACACACACACACACACACACACACAGCTTTAATCCCCTCCCTCCCCTCCCTTACCCCTTCCCTTCCCTCCTCCTCTCCTTACCCCTTCCTTCCTTCTCTTCTCCTTCCCTCCATCCTCTTCCTTCCTTCCCTTCTCTTCCCTTCATCGCTGTAAATGTTGTAATAACTCTATATAACAATCCATCACTCACCACACACATACTAAACCGTAAATTATGAAGAAAATACATTATCATCATCATCATCATCATCATCATCATCATCATCATCATCATTATTAAGTTGCTTCACGGAGTCACCATCTACAGCCACAGTACAACACATCTGGTCAACTGTCGGACACTGAACCAAAACAAGACCATCGAGGTGGATGAATACACACAACACTCTGTTAACTACATACACCTGGTGTTTGTTTACTCTTCGCTGTTGACAATAAACAAATAAGTGTTAGTTCCCCCTGTAAACAGCTTAATGTATTTACACTCAAAGGAACAATAAATAGATTCATACGTGTCTGAGATCAAGTGGACGATAACAAGGCCACACCCTCCCCCCAACCCCTGCCCTCATCTACACCCACAACTACCACTGTTACTCCTACACCCAATGGCGCTGAAACACCTCCGGGCAGGCTAACACACTTCCCTGGCAAGTTGACACCAGTAGCATGTGTCCCCTAACACTGACAGGTACACACACACACACACACACACACACACACACACACACACACACACACACAACACACACACACACACCATATTAAGACACAGGTACCACATAATACTTCCACCAGGCGTCTTGTCTTTACCTGCCTCCCACACCGCCCCCTAACCTAACCTAAGGGGTGAAAAAATTATACAGGAGGTACACGGGATCGTGAGGAAGGAGAACCAGTTATAGTGAGTGTATAGATGCACCACCATGCGTCTGCTGTACCGACCAAGCATCACCACTCAACACCCAAGCTAGAACTCTCATACGTGTCAAAATCCCATCCAGTAAAACAACATTGTGAAGAGTATACCATTAACTATATTCTGTGACCTGAAGGTGAACTTATTAAGGTATAGAGCCAGGTGGTGTTAGGCCAGGTGGTGTGGGGCCGGGTGGTGAGCCAGGTGGTATAGGCCAGTGGTGTGGGCCAGGTGGTGTTTGGTGTGGGGCCCAGGTGGTGTTGGGCCAGGTGGTGTTAGGCCAGGTGGTGTTGGGCCAGGTGGTGTGGTGGGCCAGGTGGTGTGTAGGGCCAGATGGTGGGACAGATGGTGTAGGGGAGCCAGATGGTGTAGGTGGGCCAGGTGGTGTAGGTGCCAGGTGGTGTAGGGCCAGGTGGTGTAGATGGTGTGAGGCCAGATGGTGTGTAGGTGGTGAAATAGGTGTGTAGGGCCAGGTGGTGTAGAGGTGTGTGGGCCAGGTGGTGTTAGGGCCAGGTGGTGTAAAGGTAGGTGGTGGCCAGGTGGTGTTAGGCCAGGTGGTGTAAACCAGGTGGTGTTGGGCCAGGTGGTGTAGGGGCCAACAGGTGGACAGCCAGGTGGTGTTGGGCCCAGGTGGTGTGGCCAGGTGGTGTTGGGCCAGGTGGTGTAGGGCCAGGGCCAGGTAGGGCCAGGTGGTGACCAGGTGGTGTAGGGGGCCCAGGTGGTGTAGGGCCAGGTGGTGTAGGGCCAGGTGGTGTAGGGCCAGGTGGTGTTGGGCCAGGAGGTCTCCCATATACCCCCAACCCCTCTCCTGTCCTTGTATAGTATATAAATCCAGGTAAATACGTGTCATGATCAAGCTTAATCACCGAGACTTCCTGGTAAACATAACACCTGTGTACCGCGCACCTGTCCCCTCGTTCCTGCCCCCCTCCCCTATACTGACCTTCCCCTCCCCACCATCTTCTGTACTGTGTTATGGACTGATCATACCTTGTGTCAGGTGTCCTTCATCCTCCCTTACGTGAATACCTCAGTGTCCCGCCCCACTAAAGGTCACAGCTTAAGGTTAGAGAAGCAACAAGTCCAGAAGATCGTCAGACCAGATATCCCTCCTCCTAGTCACAGGCCTGGCACTTGACATTATTAGGGACCTCCCACGCTTTGCCATAAGCAGATGAAATGTACCGGGAACTTTCCCCCCACACACTCATCATTGTCACTTTTTGTAACTTGCTGACAAAACCTATGACCCTTCAGGCTTCTACGCCCTTAATGCACGAGTCATAAAAGCAAGCATGAACGTAGCATGCTTCCCAGTTGGGCACTGTAAACGCTTCTGCGCTTCACCTTGCACAGGATGTAAGGGGGTGCCCAATAAACTCGCCCCCTCCGGGGCAATCTGTAGAAAAAATCTGTAATCGTCAGGGTGAATTTTTTTTTTTGGGGGGGGTGTGAGGATTGTGAACTCTTAGAACAATCGGCTACCGCTTCTCAACCAGTAGGTCATCACCTGTTAACTAGATTTTACACATTTTGCTTATCATATCCAACACCAATAATGAATCTTGTTTTTATTTACGTTTACTTACTAAAGTTCACAGCTTAAGATTTCTTAAATATAACTATAAGACCAATACATACATAACGAGGATGATTTCAGTTGTGTTGAGACGAGACAACTGGGTGAGTGGGAGCCAGAACACACCACCACGAGTTGTTTAGCTACACAACACACACATCCGGTGGCGTGTTCCCAGCCTCCAACAATGATGATTTTTCGTTAACTGGACGAATGTAATTCATGATGATGACATAAAGGAACTGTAGTGGACATCCCTAGTGAGCAAAACAATACCTTATAGGGGATTAGATGTACCCTGCCTTACCCTACCCTACCCTGCCCTGCCCTGCCCTGCCCTGCCCACAAACCCTTCACTATCCAACCCACCACCCCTTATTGTCTCGCCCACCATCCCTCACTACCCAACCCACCACCCCTTATTGTCTCGCCCACCATCCCTCACTACCCAACCCACCACCCCTTATTGTCTCGCCCACCATCCCCTCACTACCCA